GCCCACCCCTTGGTCGGGGTGTTTCAAAAATGAAGGACTTTGGTCTTCTCACTTGCCCACCCCAAGGGATGTTCCGAAAACATTGTGGTCGTCCAACCCAGAGGCGTGGACGTTGTCGACCACATGCCCACCCCTTGGAGTGTTCCAAAAACAAGCGACCTTCGCCCACCCCTTGGTCGGGGTGTTCCGAAAATGAAGGACTTTTCTCTTGCTTCCAATGATGGCGGGCAGGGGTTACGTCCGTGATTCCACGCGCATCCAACAAGAAATTCCAAAAAATTTTATAAGTGATCGGCTTGTATTATACGTATCGGATTTAGGATCCATGTAAGCACGTGTAAAGTTTCCAGGTGAATTACGACTGTGCCATTAAATATATCAAACCGAATTTGTGAATGACATGTTGTGAGAAATTAACGGTGGATATGAACAGAAATCAGTATTTTGGCTATCCTTGAACAAAATTTGCTTCGAAACTACATTAGTCCAACTTGCTCGAGCATAAAAAGGAGTCATAACAGTTTATACATAATATTTTTTCAGATTAGCTACGTTCTACGACCTGGCTAGCGATCTGCCCTCAGCGTACTTCAAGGAATATGCTCTTCCTGCATGGACTTTTTCGACCAGATATGGTCCTTCCCAATTAGGCTCCAGCTTTCCTACATGTTTGAGCACGTCCACCCTTTTCCAGACTAGATCGCCCACCTGAAATCGACGGATTTTCACTTTCCTGTCATGGGCTGCTCTCATCCGTTGTTTGTACACCTCCACTCTGGTCGAGGCTTGCTCCCTGAGTTCTTCAATCGTATCCAAGGCAGCCAGCATGAGTTCTTCATTTTGACCCCGGTCATACGCGCTCATTCGTTGGGATTGCAATTCTAGTTCGACTGGCAACAGCGCCTCCATCCCATAGACCAAGCTGAAAGGTGTCTCCCCAGTGGTCGACCTCGGGGTAGTTCTGTAAGCCCAGAGTACGAATTTCAGCTCGTCGACCCACGCCCCTGAGGCTTTTTCCAGTCTTGTCTTCAGCCCGTTCAATATAATCCTGTTGGTCACTTCCACTTGCCCATTGGCCTGCGGGTGGGCGACGGAGGCAAAGTGCTGCTCGATTCCCATCTCCTCGCACCACGCCCTATCCCGCTTGCCATTGAATTGCATTCCATTATCAGATATCAAGACTTTGGGAACCACAAACCGACAACAAATGTTGTTATACAGAAATTGGATTACTTTCTCCTCCGTGATCTTGGCCAGTGGCTCATCTTCCACCCACTTCGTAAAGTAATCGACCGCTACGATTAAGAATTTCCGTTGCCCTATTGCCTGCGGCATTGGCCTCACCAGGTTGATTCCCCACTGCTCGAACAGAATTGGTGCACTCATGGTGGTCATTGTCTCAGCGGGTTGGTGGATAAGCGGGTCGTGTTTCTGACATTGCAAGCATCTTTTGGTCATCTCCTTGGCATCCGTCTTCATTGTCGGCCAGAAATACCCTGCTCTCAAGATTTTTTCCACCCTGGCTCCAGCCTTGCTGTGGTCGCTGCAGCATCCTTCGTGCACCTCTTTGAGGACATACCGACCTTCTTCCTTGGTCACACACCGCAAATGTGGTCTGGAATACGATCGCTTGTAAAGAATCCCCCTTGTTCGAAAAACCTTCTCACTACTTTGACTGTTCCTTCTCTCAACTCTTTCAGGATCAAAGCTCTCCAGTCTTCTACTTCCTCAATCTCTACCATTTCTGCTTCGACCATACTTTTTTCCATGTGGAGCAGGGTCGCACTTCTGCTCTTACAGTCTACCAAACTCTAAGCGATTTTAGATAACAGGTCGGCCCGACCATTCTCTCCTCTTGGTATTTGCATTAGCTCGAATGACCCGAATTCTTCAGCCTCTTCATATCGTTCACATAACGATGCAGCCTGTCCTCCTTGATCTCGAAACTCTCTTGGAACTGTCCGACCAACAGCTGAGAATCAGAATGGACCTGGATTTTTCGAGCACCCCCATCCAGAGCTAGCTGTAGCCCCTTTATCACCGCCTCGTATTCTGCCTCATTGTTTGATATCTGAAACCCCATTTTAACAGCAAACTCCAAGTAATCTCCCTTGGGCGACACTAAGACTATGCCCAGGCCCGCTCCACTTCTCGAAACTGAGCCATCCGTGAACAGTTGCCACATTCCCTCCATTTTCTCTTCCTCATTCGTACCCTCCTGAATAAAATCGGCCAATACTTGCGCTTTGATCGTCCTTCCTGGCTCATAAAGGATAGAGTATTCGCTTAGCTCAACCACCCACTTCACCAATCGTCCAGATACTGCTGGTTGGCCTAAAGTCTGCTTCAGAGGCATGTTTGTTTGCACCTTGACTTTATGGTTTAGGAAATATAGTCTTAGCTTTCGAACCGTCACGATCACCGCCAATGCACACTTCTCAATCTCTGAGTACCTCAACTCTGCTCCCTGCATTACTCAACTGACATAGTATATTGGGAACTGTGGTACCCCCTCCTCACGCAACAACACCGAGCTTACTGCATTCTCGCCCACCGATATGTAGAGCACGAGCTCTTCTCCATGTACTGGCTTAGCTAGCAAGGGAAAATTTGCCAACACATCCCACAACTCCTCGAAGGCCTTCTGGGCTTCCTCCGTCCACTGGAATTTCGAGCTCTTCTTCAACGTCTTGAACAGAGGACCACTCTTCTCAGCCACTTGAGAGATGAACCTGCTTAACCCTGCTATTCCACCAGTCAGTATTTGAACCTCCTTCACACTGGCAGGTGGCTTCATCTCGATCACCGCTCTTACCTTCTCAGGATTTACCTCTATTCCCCGCTTCGTTACCATGTATCCTAAGAACTTCCCTACCTTCACACCAAATGAACACTTGGTTGGATTAAGCTTCATGCCATACCTTTTCAGTGTTTGGAAAGTCTCCCTCAGGTCGCCCACATGATCCGCCTCCATCCTGCTCTTTACCAACATGTCATCGACATATACCTCTATATTTCTTCCCAACTGGTCTTTGAAAATATGGTCGACTAGCCTTTGGTAAGTAGCCCTGACGTTCTTCAATCCGAATGGCATAACCACATAACAATAGGTGCCTTTGCTCGTTATGAAGCTCACCCTCTTCCAATATTCCTTTGCCCAGGGGATTTGATGGTACCCTTGCGAGGCATCCATTAAATTGAGCAGTTCGCATCCCGCTGTGGAGTCTACCAGTTGGTTGATCCGCGGCCGCGGGTATAGATTCTTTGGGCAAGCCTTATTCAGATCACAAAAATCGATGCACATCCTCCATTTTCCTTCTGATTTGGACACCATCACCGTGTTGGGTAACCATTCTGGGAACTGGATCTTCTTGATGTGCCCGACATTCAACAACTTCTCGACCTCTTGCTCGATTATCTTGTCCATTTCTGCGCCGTGGTGTCTCCTCTTCTGTTTCACTGGTCTCACACTAAGATCAATATTTTGCCTGTGCTCGATCGCTCTGGCTTCAATTCCTGTTAATTCTTCCACCGTATACGCGAATATGTCTGCGAACTCCCTTATTAAACTGACCAGCCTAGATCTGATCGGCTCTTCCAGATCCTTTCCAATCCTAAACTTTCGATCATCACTTCCCTGCACCATCTGGACTTCCTCGACCTCACCACCAGGTTGTATGTCCACCTTCTCTTTTCCTTTGCCTTGCCATCCCTTCTCCTCATTCGACCTCGACCCTCCTGGTCGATCAGGCTTCTCTTCCTCGCCTTTCAAGTGTTTTTTCGACATCTACTTGTTATTGTTGACTGTGGTTTGGTAGCAAATCCTCGAGATGAGCTGGTCCCCTGCAATCTCGCCAACATTTTCACCCACAAGATATTTGATCGTCATGTGATATGTAGACACGACCGCCTGGAATGTGTTCAGCCCTGTTCGCCCCAAAATGATATTATACGACGACTCCGCACCGACCACCACAAAGCGCACCATCCTGACCTTCCGGGTATCACCCGACCCCAATGCCACAGTTAGACTTACCTCGCCCATTGGCATCACCTCTCCTCCGTTGAAGCCATACAAGTCCGTCGCCACTGGTTTCAATTCCACATTCAAATGCTTGTTGATTTGGGCGAAGCAGTCATAGAACATCACATCGACCGACCTCCCAGTGTCGATGAACACCCTATTCACATCGAAAACTGCTACCTCTGCTGTGATGACCAGCGTGTCATTATGGGGTAGTAAAACCTCCTCCACATCTTTTGCCCGAAATCTGATTACCGGCATTCATCCAGTTATCCCGACCTCCTCCCTCTTACGCTTCATTGCTCGCACATGCCCTTTTCGTGCATTGTTCGAGTCTCCATCCGTGGGCCCTCCTGAAATCATAGAAATTGTGCCCCTCTTCGCGGGCACCTCCCCCCTCGGTTCCTCTCGACCATCATCTTGTCACCTCATTCTCTCCCTTCTAGTATCGTCTTCTCTTTCATCGTCCCTATCTCTCCTCGCTACCGAATCCTCCCTACACATTCTCCTCTTCTTACCTCGTGGTCGATCACGGATAATAAACTCTTTCAAGTGTCCCGCCAGTATGAGACGCTCGATTTTGTCTTTCAAGTGCCTACAATCCTCCGTGTTATGTCCATAATCCCTATGGAATCTGCAGTATTTATTCGACCTGGGTTTGGTTGGTCCTTCGAACCTCGTCGCCGGCCACGTGACCTCCTTGCTCTCAAGATTCTCCTCGATGGCGGCCAAAACTTCGCCCACCTGGGCGTTGATAGGAGTGAAGTTGTTATATCTTTGATCATTTGGTAGCTGGGGTTGTCCTTGCCAGCGATCTTCTCGCCCTCCTCGGAACGTATTTCGCCCATCCCTTCTTGGCGACAGCTTCTTAGATGAGCCTCTTCTTGGGGAACTCTTTCTAGGTGATCCCCTCCTGGGCGAGCTCGGCCTTCCCTTCCCTTGCTCAGGTTTCACCACCTCCTCAAGTTTGGCAAACTCAGCCTCCGTTTCTTCCAAATTGATGTACTTCTTGCATCTCTTAAGCACCTCATCGTAGGTTTGAGCAGGCGTCTTTGCTAATGATGTTCGACATGGTCCTGGTCGCAGACTCCTAATCAATCCTCCCGCCTTTACCTCGTCGCCCGCCGTGGGCACCTCTAAACACATCTGATTGTATCGAGCAACATATTTCTGCAGGGACTCTTTCTCGCTTTGTCGCATCGCCATCAGAGTGATGTATGTCTTCTCCTGCGCAACCGCACTTGAATATTGATTGGTAAGTTGTCCTACGAAATTCTCAAAGTCTTTGATCGAACCGGGAGCTAATTGGTGGAACCAGTCGAGCGCGCCTCCTCGCAAGGTCGACAGGAAAGCCCTGCAACTGACCGGATCCGAGTACCCGTGCAAGACAGATATGTTTTCGAATGTCCTCAAATGCCTTGGTGGATCGCTCGACCCATCAAAAATCAAGTTTATCTCCTGGAAACTCGCGAGTAATGGTGCAGCTAGAATTTCCCTCGAGAACGGGTGTTCTCGAGCACGCCTGTCCGGCCTTCCCTCCACCTTCTCCTGCAGCTACCGGAACTGCTCAGCATCCTCTCCATCGCCCTATGTTTGTGCTCCCCTCCTCCGCCATAACTCGACACGTCCTCCTCTTGCGTCTCCGGTACCGTGGCCGGTGTGGTAGCAGCCTGGGATGTCTGGTGACTGACCTGCTGCACAGCTTGCGCCGCCGCGTTGGCGATTATCCTCTGCATCTCTTCCCTCGTCCTGGTTACCATTTGTTGGGCAGGGGGTTGCGGTGCTCATCCTGTTGGCGGCGCCATCGTCTGCACCAATGGTCCAACCTGTTGCGCCACAACCATGCCTGCTTGCAACGGCGCGAGGGCTGCCGTCGGCGCTGCTTCACGAGCTTCGTGCTCTATGCTCATGCCTTCTTCTCCATCTAGGATCGTCGCACCCTGAGGCATCGGCGTTGGGGTCATCGGTGTTTGTGATGGCCCGGAGAAACCAGGTGGAGGTCTTGCTCCCATCGGTCTTGTCGTCGTCCACGCTTCATCGAACGACGACTGCAAATTCACTCGAGGAACTCCGTCCACCATAGCTGAGCTCAGAACACAACTTTTTGAACGAAGTCCCACAGGCGGCGCCAATGATACAAGTCTCGCACCCCGTCCAGCTGGAAACCACCCCAAGCTCGTTCTCCTTGCCGGTCGAACGCGGAACCTCTACGAAACTACCACACCGGAGGTGTTTTCCGGTGAAGAGCCTCCAACGCTCAAGTCAGATCATGAGAGATAGTATAAGTGTGTCAAAATATGTGAGAGTATGAGCGATTGTGTTCAAAGTGAGGTTTCTCGTCCCTATTTATAGGGACGAGCTACATGTTCTACACGCGCGGGTAGGGCGAGTTTGGCTAACCTTCCCCTGCTCATCTGTACAACGGTACGCCTCCACTATCCTTGACGTCAGGGAACGCGTCCAATCTGTTAGAGAATGTCAGAGTTCGTTACAGCCATAGGCCACTCATAGAATGCCGCGTGTCCTCCTTTCACGTGCTGGAGATTCCCTTGTGCACTCTGCTGTTCGACCAATACTGTACAACCACGTCCTATCCGACCATCCTTCCTCGACCAACTCCTCGAGTAGCTGATGTTTGTCGACCACTTCTGAACTCGCCTCTACTGTCTGCTCTATGTTCTTTGTTGCAGGTGCCTGGTCCGGTTCGACCCTACCATTTGACCCGTCTTGATTAGCTAACCCGACGAACCAGTCTTACTTTCTCCGGCTAGCGCCACAAACCGGTCTGGCATATAATATCTCATATCACCAGCACCTAGTCCGCGAAGGCCTAGGAGTCCCAGCGCACGTCCGCGACACGCACGCCAGCGTGATACGGAAGTGGTCATCAACCCAGGCGAGTCAGAGGATGAGGATGGCGATGATCTCAACATATGGTTGGAAAACATGCTAGAGGAGCCATCAAGTCCAATATATCGACCTTCTTGTGTATGAGATTGGCCAAAAGGATGCGGTCCGAAGTCAAAGGTCAAGTCTAGGAAGTACAAGGCCAAGCAAGCTCGAAGGAAACACAAGACAAAGGCTAAGGAAGGGAAGTGTTGGTGCAAGCCTTGTGCAAGAAAAAGACGAGTTTGGAAGATGGGGGCTCAAAGGAGAGGTAGGCAAAGAATGGAGGATGGATGGATATGGCGAGCTGGAGATTGTATTAGCTTAGAAGGTTGGGACCCATGGACAACGGGAGAGAATGACAACAAAGGGGACGACGGTGATCGGCTATTGAGCGAATGGCGCGCATCGGCCCATGATGTGCGCGGTCGGACGGAGCAGGATACACGGGCAGCTCCGGTCATTGGCGAGGACGTGCTAGCGTCGGGCGGCATGGATGCTAGGGATGCGGAAAGTGCGACTAGCGCGCACGCGAATGAAGGCCTAGGCCTAGGGGGCCTAGGAAAGGCGGCAGCGCACGTGGGCGAGGAAGTCGGCAATGGCGCGGGGCGCGATGACGATGGCGAGACGTCGGGCGTGTGCAGCAATCGCGCGGGTGGCGAGGACGCGCGGGTCACGGCCAGCATTAGCAGGGCGCGCGCATGGACGCGCGAGTATGGTGCAGACGTGCAAAGCCTAAGCCGCACGGGCTTAGGAATAACGGGCGCGGGCGCTCACACGCAGGAGATGAGCAATGGACGCGAGGCGCGCACAATGGCGCACGAGTGTGGGGCAAGAGCGAGAGACCTAGACCGCATAGGAGTGTGTGAGGCGTGAGCAGTGGACGCGTGGAGCACGGACGAGGCGCGCGATGCCTCGCGCGCCAAGGTGTAGGAAAGCGGTCGAGGGCGGCGCGCAAGATGCGACGCGTATGAAAGGCGGCCGAAGGATTTTTGTGCACAAGACTTAAGCTTCTAGAAATTCTTGGAGTGCCAGACAAGACATTAGTAGTTTTAGTAATAATAAGATTTTATTTCTATGTTGCTTTTCATTATAGAATTAGTAGATCTAGATCTATTAGGCTTAGATTTAATTTATGCATCTATAAATACCCATGTACCTCTTCATTATTAGGAAGTCTTGGAATTGATGAGTGAATAGAAAAGGGGGAACTTGATGTTCTTACGTGTGTTTAAACAAGGCCGTTAGTGCGTGTTTACATACAGTGTCGGAGAGAAGGCCATTAGTGCGTCTTGAAGTCACGGTGTCTAAGAGATGGCCGTAGTGCGTCTGTTGGTCACATCTATCGTGTGTAGTCGAAGGCCCGAGTGCACGATTACATATACCCGAATACGCAACAATGGCGATCAACACTCTCGATCACTCATCATTGGTGCTTTCATTGAGAGGGTTTCATTGAAGGGTATCCGATCAAGGTTATTGTTTATCTATCTTTTATTTTTTTTGGTTATTACCTTTTGCTCAGGGGCCGAATTTCTCTTAGTTTTTTTGAATTTTTTTGGTTCAAAATTTTTGCTTTTTTTCTCTTAGTTTTTCAAGAATTTGAGTGTTCAGTTAAAAAAAAAGTGTCATCTAGTCCTTTGCTATTTTTCATAGTCTTAAAAAAATATATATATATAATTTTTCAGTTTGGTTCGATTTTTCGAGAGAGTCAAAAAAAAAAA